ATATGAATTTGGAAAATAGGCAGATTAAAAATAAAAGAATCTGTGTCAACCAGCAACAAGGGAATACTTAATTCACTAGCAGTTAATTGCAGTGACTCCATGTGTTTCGGTGATTGGTAAATCACTTATTTCTAAGTATAAAGTCCTTTTTTTATGAGGTTGATTTGTCTCTATGATATATATGTACTTCTGTATTTGTAACCACGAGAGCTCAAAATGGGATATTTTAAGAAGACATTACAATAGCTTGGATGTAGCCTGATGCAGATGTTTATGAAGCTCTGGCTTTATTTATGTGTAGTAATTCATTAACCATTAGGATACTCTGAATTTGAATTTTCTTGTAATTTGTTAGAAGTTTTGGATCATGTCCAAACTTTAAAAATAGTTAGTTCTATTGTGATTGTCTCTATTCTTTCAGCACATTCCTACTGGGATGTTCCCTGGTGAAAGATGAAGTCTCTGTTCTGAGGACTGGAGAGCTGGTGTGTTGCTATGTGCCTTGTCAAGCAAAACTAGAACTGGTTTGAGTGGAAGCAGGAGCAGAAAACTTGCTGGTTTTAGCCAGCCACGGTTAAAGGGGATATATGAATGAATATCTGTGTGCTCTACTGTTATCATAGAACAGTTACAGACTCATGGAAACATAGAAAATTTGGGTTGCAAAAGGACATTAAAGACCATCTATTCCAATCCCCTGCCATGGGCAGGGACACCTTCCATGATCCCAGATTGCTCCAAGCTCTGTCCAACCTGGCCTTGAACACTTCAAGGATGGGGCAGCCACAGCTTCTCTGGGTAACCTGTGCCAGGACCTCACCACCCTCACAGTAAAGAATTTCTTTCTAAGAGGAGAATTTTCTAGTTTAAAGACATCCTCTCTTGTCCTATAACTTGTGCCCCTGTGAAATTCCCCTCTCTGGACTTGTTGTAAAGCCCCTTTATGCACTGGAGGCTGTATTTTCCTGCTTCTGGATGGGGTGGAAGCTCTTATGCCATCTGTGCTTTTGTGAACTGCTCCATCAGCTGCTTTGGTTTCAAAAAGGAAGGGCTGTAGCTCCATGAGGGTGTTTAGATTTACAGTTCCTGTAAAATGGTGATATTTTGTATGAAGCTGTTATGTTTCTCTTTCCTCCATATGTGTTGGGATTTAGAACTGACTGTTGGATGGGAACTGATCAACAGTTTCCTGGAGAGGTAATGGTTCAAATGATTCTTGGGAGCTGTCATTGCTGGGAGGGATAAAGTTACAGTCAGCATTAGGCATTGTGTTTGGTGAGTAGTGTAAAATAATTGCTGCTTACTGATAGCAGGCAAACCCCACACTTTGGAAAAATAAATTGCAAGTGGTGTTTGAAGGGAACATTTCCTTCTTTTTTGAGGGAAAAACAATCTATCATTTTCGTGATGCATTTCTTTTGGTTGTTTACTCTGTCTCCAGAGTGTAAATCCCTGCTTTGGTGCAACTGTTTTTTAAAATTAAGTTAATGTTTAACTCTGGAGCTCTATACATTGATTTAATTTGAGAGTATGAAAGCCCACCATCAGAGATTCCACATCCTTGACACAATCTTTAAGAAAAAAGAAGTGTTAACCCCAAAACATTTTGAGATTATTTTTATTATCCCAGGTTTTCAAAACATGAAGCATTTCAGAAAGGTTTAATGGGCTTAATTATTTAGATTTCTTTGTTGCTTTTAACATGTTTTCAAATGAAATACATATTTTTTACAGAGAAGTTCAAATTTCCCCCTGCTCTAACATTGTCTTACCCTGGTATAGAAGTGCCATTAAAGTCCTCAATTGCCTGCCATTGGCTTCATGTTTAAATATTTCATTCATCAAAGAGAGTCCCAGTAGTTCCCTCCCTGGTATCACGTGTAAGGGTATAAAAGGATACTTGTTATCAAAAATTCAACAAGGGTCCTGAAAACAATTCAGATTTTGGATTACTGAACCATGAATCAACGGGTAATGAAATGAATTGCCAACACTTTCAAAAGATCTACCAATGAAATAGTACAAATCTGACACACTTAAAGAGAGAAAAAAAAAAAAGGCAATAATCCTCTACAGCCACTTCCTTTTGCACTTTGAAGAACATCATCTCCTCCATGACCATGCCTGTGCCTAATCCAGTATCTTCTCTCTGAAAGTGGTCAGTGCCAGATGTTTCAGATATTGTGCTTTGTTTATTATGAATCAGTCACCATCAAAGCATTCAATCCCATCAATATCTTGAGCTTGAGTGAACTCAAGTTATTTTGAGATTGCTGATGGAAGATGAGAGGAAGGAGCTGTTTCAACAAGTGATCTGCACTAATTGCAGGGGTTGAAACCTTCCCTGATCCTGAACTGGCAATATGAAAGGCATGCTGAAGGAGGCTGTTCTGACAACAGTAGTTGTATATTCAGAGACAGTAGAGTCTTGACTGCACTTTGGTTGTATTTCTCTGTCTTCTTAATAGGGTGGCCTCGGGGAAAAGTCCTAATGCACTGGAGTAACAGCTTGGAAATGCATTTCACTATTTTGTGTTGTATTCTGATTCTGTTTGTGGTTTGTTTGTCTACCCCAGGTCCACCCCAGTAGTTAATTTTGTCCCAGAGTGCCTCCTTGAACAAGTGAAATAAAAATGAACACGAAATTAAAAAGTGTTTTTTGCTGATCTGATGCAGCCCTGTCACTCACTCTGATAACTGGGGCTGTGTCTCAGCATTTTTCTTATGAGCAAAAGCTGCCCTTGAGACTTGGAAATCAATATGCTGATTTGGGTAAATATTTATTTGGCACACACCTCGAGGCACTGCAGCAACAGAACTGTTCAGTAAGAACTACTAAAATTTAGAGAAATCAGAGAATCCAGCCCCCACCGTGGCAGCTGAATGATGAAGCTAAATTACTGTGTGTTGGTTTTCTGAAAGAACAGTAATTGTAGTTGTTTTAGACACCTTGAAATTTGTTAATACTGATGGTCTTTCTCAGCACTCCTGAGCTAGCTAGGTTTTGGTATTGGCATGGAAGAAGAGCTCTTCCCAGTAAAAGGTCTGGATATGGGTCATCTAAAAGTAAATAATTAGGAAATTGGGACCTAATTATTGTTTTAAAATACCTAAAGATATAGACAAAATGGAACCAGTCTTCTCTCTGACAGGTTTCACTGTGACAATTGTTAAGCTTTGGCACAGGGTGCTCAGAGACGTTGTGGAGGCTCCACCCTTGGGTTCAGAGATGGGAAAGCTGGACTAAAGTGGCCCTGCTTGGAACAGAATTGCAAAGGTAACAACCTAAGTCATTCTGTGATTATGGGTCACCAAGAGAATAGTCATTATTTTTGAAAAACTAATTTTTTGTTCCCTTTTAGGAATTTGTCCAGGGATTGTTTCTTTTAATTGCTTTGTCTTTTTTCTCTATCTCTTAAGAGTATAGCAGCAGCCATCCCACCATGTCCTCTCTCTGTCTTCCTCCACAGAGGAAGAGGAATCTAAGGACAGGAATTGTGGGGTGGCTGCTGGTAGGCTTGTGTTGGTGGCAGTAGTGGGAAGGGGAGTTTCCAACCCATTGCAGAGAGGAGATCTGTGGGGTTGAATGGAATCATAGCTGATGCTGACATGGGGCATGCTGTAGTGTTCCCTGTATGGATGTCTCTGCATCAGCAAAGGGGAGGCTTCCCTGAGTGTGGCAAAGTCAGGATTGTTTGGGAGTTCCCATGGCAACCTGACTGTTGACTCACTGTAATTTTAATGAGATTTTGTTCCCCTGCTTTATTCTTGTCAACAACTTCATTATAGAGGATAACATAATCCTCTAAGAAACAGAGAGAAATTTGGTTCTGTGCAGTGTTTTCCTTTGAAAAATATTGTGACTGTTCAAAATGAGAGAGAAAGCAAAGCTCTGAGGAAGTGTCAAAGGCCTAGAACAGCAGTAGAGCCAGAAGAATTAAAATGGTATAATGTGAAAGGAGATCAAAGATGTGACTGGTGTGCCAGGATGGAATAGGACCTTGTACTACCAACTGTGCCCCAACCTTCCCCTTAGTGACTCTGCATTTGGGCCTTTTTGCTCATGACCATTAGTTTATAGGAAAAGTGTGGTTGGAAGGGACTTCTGTTCTCTAGTCTAACCTACTGCTGTGGAATGTGAGATCAGCTGGCTCAGGGCTTTATCCAGTAATGTCTTGAAAACTTCCAATAATGTAGGCTCCACAGCTTCTCTGGGCAAGCTGCTCCACTGTTTGACTGCTCTCTGAAGGAGTTGCTCCATATATCTGGTCTAAAACTCTCCTGTTTCTCATTGTGCCTGTTATTTCTCATTCTCCTACTGTGAAGACCCTGTCTCCATCTCTTTGAATACCTCATAGTAGATACTGGCAGGCTGATGTTATTTTTCCCCAAAGATGTCTCTTCTCCAGGCTGAAGAAGCCACTTCTTACAGGGAAAGTGCTCCAGTTTCCAGCTTTTTTTACAGAAAAGTACTTTTTTGTACTCACTCCAGTTTATTGAAATCTGTCTTGTATTGGGGGGCCAAAAACTGCACGTGGCATCTAGATTGAGTCTAAATGATGAGTCTGGCTCAGCTGCATTTCCTGTAAACTTGACAGATACGCTGATGTAAATAAGTTGTATGATCTAAGAGTTTAGAGCATCCAGATGTTGTTTCCACTAAGGATATGAAACATGGCTGAAGGTCAAATCACCAAATGTCCTTAATCTTCCTGTCACTGTGTCTCTCCTTTCCACCTTTGTGAGATGAGTAATAAAATCTGCATCCCTCATTGCCGGTTATTTTGTGTTTGTTTGCTGCACTGATGTAAACCACCTAAATGTTAACTGCTTTTCCCTAATGATGGTTTTTGTTGCGGTTTTTGCAGGTTACATATCACAGGTACTAAAGAATTACACTGACCATGCCTGTGATGGAGAATATGTGTCCCTGAGATGTCCCCACAGAACCACCATCAGCATCCAGTCTTCTTTTTACGGCCGAATTGTACCAAGTCATCAGCTGTGTCCTTCTCGCTATCCCCACTCCTATGCAACTTTAATTAAAGAAGATGTTGCCTGTTCAGTTGGCACTTCTCTTCAGGTATTGTTAAAATGCATTTCTTAATTTTGAACTCCACCTTTCCTTGGCCAGGCAGCAGCTCTCAGTGTTGGTGCTGCACAGACCTGCCTTGAGCAGGGCTACCCAGCACGGGAGCTCTGACACCTCACACAGATTAGTGGATAATTCATCCTTGTAGTTTAGACAGGATTGAATTAGATTTGGAGAGTGAATTTCTTAGTTTTCTTGCAACTCTAGTCAGTAACTGTTCAGGAATGTGTTTGAAGGAGAATTACACTTCAGGACTGCATTATGTTTGACTGGGTTTGAAGAGCATTATTTTTATAGTTTTCCTTCCCAATTATTAGCTTTTTCAACATATTCAGAAATTGCTGTAGCATTCTTTTTGCTTTAGATCCTGTTTCAAGAGGCTTTTACTTTGGTAACTCGAAACCCAAAGAGAATCCTTGGCTTTACTTCTTGTGACTCATTTGGCTCTTAGGCCACTGTAAGTGGTCATACATCACTTAAACCTGTAACATCTCCCAGTAGTTAATCAGCTCTGACCATTTGTGTGGGGAAAGTTGTCTCTGTGTATCGTCCCAAGAGCACATGTGACATCAGCAAATCAAAGGATTATTTGGAAGGTGCTAGTGTTACTCAACTGCCAGTAGGAACAACTAAAATTAGAAACATGAGTTGGCTGATGTTGAGATGAATAAGGTCTGCTCCTGGGTATTGAAGCAAGCACAAGTTTTTCCAAGTGCCGGATTTGGGACTGTGAAAACTTTTGGGCAAATATCTCAGTCATCCAGTGTGTTTATGGTTTAGAATCAATAATAACTCATAATAAAAATTTATAGCAGACTAGATTAATGAACCTAGAGTGAGTAATTTCTTTTATAATTTGGCTAAAGGCCAGAGTTTTCCACATCACTTCTCGCTCTTGCATCCAGGGTTTTTAAGAGACATTTAACAACATTTTTTAAAAAGTTGAGTGCCTTGGCTTCCAAATGCCAGTGGTAAGCTCTCAATAATTTGAACAAGGTTGGTGTTTGGCTGTAGTGTAACCCTTAAGCTGACAGATTTGAAGTTGCCCTCATGACACTTCCACTGCACAGCAAAGGACTGAGCTGTAGTATGGGAGGATGTGGTCCTTATCAGTGGAAGATTTTCCCAGATTTAACAGAAGTTCATAATGAAACATGTGAGAGGCAGTTGTGTTGTTTAGAGTGGGAGAACACAGAGAGAAAGCTTTGGCAGAGGCTAGCCTTCCCTTCTTTTATTGATTTACTGAAAAATTTAGTTGCAACTTTTCCTTTACCAAGGTGATTGATAGCTATGAGCATCGCCTCAACCCTTGCGGGTGAGTGGCCCACTTAAGGCATCTGGAAGAACTTGAGAAGAGGAAAGATATAACCCTAGGGTTTCTATTTCATGGTTTTATGTGTAGGAGGGATTGAAAAGAAATCCTTACCTGCCTCTCCTAGCTTTTCATGTCCTCAGACCTGTTCCCCATTAGCTTTGTCTTCAATACTTAGGTGGTTTGTAATTCCCAATCCCTGTTTATCAGAGAGAGAATTGTGTTCCCTGTAGGTCTTCCTGCAGCAGATCCTTTGTGCAGTACATTTCTTACGTGACTGAGACCAAAACACTATTATTAACCCATTCCTGGGGATGCAGATGTGCTGGGAAAACAGCTGACATTCTCTCTTCTGCCACAAATTTCTTGGGACACCTTTGGCAAGTTCCTGTGTCTTTTTGGAGGAGACTCACAGCCTCTTTGATGCCCCCAGATGTGGCTTTGATCCCTCTGTGTGTTGTGGTTGCCCAGGGTAGGATGAGTCCAAATGCCAGAGATTAATCTCATCTTCTCTCTCAGTTCTGGAGTGGGTGAGGCCTCTCTGAGGGGTAAGCCAGGAACTTCACAAGCTGAACGGCAAGCTGCCTGCAGCTCACTGGTAGGAAATGCATGTGTGTAGGAAAATTGGAAAGCTGTAGACAAGGAAATTGTGTGTGTTTTTGTGGTTTTGCAACTCAGATATATGGCTGCTACAGGCTGGACCAATTGTGTGTATATTCTGGTTGTCAGTAATTGAAAAAGTCAGCCAAGCCAAACCCTTCATAACTAAGTATATAAAATCACTGTGTCTAATCAAACCCATGACTGTATAAATTTGTTGCTTCTCTGGAGAGTGGTCTGGAGGGAGTGTGAGGAGCATTTATTAACTGTGCCCTGCAAACTCTAGCTGTGCATGTAAACTCCCATTTACAATCTCTCTCCACTGTAAATGTCCAGTTCAGACATTGTTTCTATGTTAAAAAGGGAAAAGGAGGAGTTGATTACACTGAGATAGCCACTACTAATTCAGCTTCATGTGACTGGCTGCCAGGATTCCTTGCTTTACTCACTTGTTTTGTTTGCAGACCACCTGGGAGAGTGTGTATGAGACATTAGGGCAGTGACCCAGTGACCCCAGACTACACATTTCTGTTATTCTAACACTGTAATGTCAGATTCAATGGGAGCTTTCCAAATGCACAAAGAATTTGGACATTCATGGAATCATCACAGATTGATAGAATGGTCTGACTTGGAGGGGACCTTAAAGCTCATCTTGTTCCAACCCCCTGCCATGTGCAGGGACACCTTCCACTAGATCAGGTTGCCCAAAGCCCCATCCAATCTGGCCTTGAACACCTCCAGGGATGGGACAGCCAGAACTGGGCAGTCTGTTCCATGCTCTGAGTAAAGAATTTCTTCCTAGTATCTAATCTAAATTTACCCTTCTTTACCTCAAGGCCTTTTCCCTTTGTTGTATGACTGCACACCCTTCTAGTAAGCCTCTTGTAGGCCCCTTTATGTACTGGAAGGTTGAAGTCTGGATCAATATTTCTGATTCCTCTTGTTTTCAGCAATGAAACACTCGAGGGCTGTATGGAAGAATGTATAATAGTTGGCTAAAATTATTGCTTATTACCAGAAACCTATATTACACTGTACAGCTGATTACCTGCAATTTTCTCATTTTGATAAATTGGCAGAAAATAAAACCACAGCTTATTTGTAAGGAAAACGGAAAACCCTGGAGAGCTACTTAATTTGTGTTTTGCCCTCTGATATTTATTAAAGACATTGAGGGCTAACTTCTCTCTTCCTTTGCACTGGCACAGAAATCAGCAGATAGATGCTCTTCCCAGAGCAATATTTTACCCTGTCACTCGTTTCCCCAAGAGGAGCTGTGCTTGGAAGGTGCTCTGGAGCTGAACCCTGACTCTCCTTAGAGAGATTATCTAATCTGGGAGGGTCTGTGGGCATGGCCTGTGCCCTGGGTCTCTTTCAATGCTCTCCAGGACAACCAGTCCTTGGTGACAAGAATCACTAGTGCTGCTGATGTGGTATTTCCTTTTGTTCTTTGGGCAAGAGACAGGACACCTTTGCTGCCACCATCTCCTGCTGTTGCTCCAGCAGCACTACAAAAGGGAGCAGATTCCTTGCATGCTGACCCCAGGATTCCCTGAACTCTTCCTCCTCCTTTTTTTTTTTTTTTTCATTTTCATCCATCAGGAAGGTTTCTGTGAAACAAAAAAAAAACACCAACCAACCAAAGAAACAAAAAAAAATTCATAAAAAAACCAACCCCCCCCAAAAAACCAAAACCAAACAAAAAACCCAAACGAACAAACAAAAACTCAAAAAACAAAACAAACCCCCAAAAAATAAAAACAAAAAAACAAAACAAAAACCAAACAAAAAACCAACCAACAAACAAACAAACAAAAACAACAAAACAGACAAACAAACAAAAAAACCCCAAAACCCCCCAAAAAACCCAAAAGGGAGCTACCTCTTTACTGATGGAAAGATGAGACTTTCCAGAAATGGCTCTCAAAGCACAGGCCAGCTGTTGATCACAAAATGAGAGGGCTGGTGTTGCTGTTTCCAAAGTGGATTTTGTTTACCCCAGTTATTCTGGATTAAAGGTAAAATACCAAATAAAAGGAAACATTCCCAACTACTCCAGCTTTCTTGGCAGGCCAAGGATAATGGCTCCTGACATGTCCAGTCACCAGATATTGCATGATCCCACTGATGTCACAGCCCTAAATGGCCTCAACAGGAACGAAAAAGGGCCCTTTCTGATGACTCTGAACATCTAGAAGATGATGATGGTCAGGGGGAAACAAGGAAGAAATTGGTAGAAAGGAAGAATAATGGTCATCAGTACCATTGGGAGGAGAAACCATTATTGAATATTGAACACCACAGTTTCTAGGCAGTTTGAACAAGGAAGGTTTCAGTCTCAAAAATGTCAGTGAACAGAAGACCAGTGTGGGCAACTCTTTTTCAGACCATATTAATTACTTTTCAGAGGATAGTGAGCAAGCTCAGGGTCCCAAAGAGTTTTCTGCACTGCCAAAGTTGCTGTTAAAAATCACAGAACCAGTGCTGTTTCATTCATGAATTTTGCCTAAACTGAAATAGAATTCTCTGGCAAGTGGCTCCTCCAGCTAATTATTTGCAACTAGAACTGCTGGATGCAGAGGTCACAGACAATCTCTAAATTGCTGTGTCTGTGAAATCTTTGGCTTGACTGAAGTAGCTCATCAGAGCAGAGTGATTCTGTCCTGCAGAAGAAGCACTGGAGGCAGAGGTGGCCAGTGCAGCCTGTCTCCCTGATGAGGCAGGACTGCTCCCCGGGGTGTAAGCCTCCTAATGCTTTGTTTACTCTAAATTTAAACTTTCCAAGTCATGGGGCTTCCATCATTGCCATTAAGACCCTGCTTGACAGTGTAATGGTTTGCTCCCAGGGATTTTTTTCCACTTTGTGTTTTTAGCTTTCCCTTTCTTTAATCCCATGACTTTTGGTTATGCATCCTTTTGTATTTCTTCAGCTGAAACCTCCTCTCCCTTTGAAGCTGACCCTGCATACAGATTAAGTTTCCTACTGTTAGGAAATGTAGGTAATGTTAATTAGGTGATATTTGTAATGCAGCTTTTATCGGGTCCTTCTATTTGGTGAACATGTTGCTGCTCTTTG